TTCCTCTCATTCCACCATGCCCCATTGCTCTCTGGATCTGTAGCAAGCCAGGCTGAGCTATGAGTAGATTCAGCTCTGTATCATGTACTCATGTAATCATCTGGCCTCCAAAATAATCAATTAAAAGCACAATTTTACAGGAGGTGGAAAAAACAGGAGAAAAAAATAACAGTCACATGGAACGATGTATCAGGAGGTCTACAGGATGCATAAAATCAGCTACATCTTTCCATCTCTATGGACTGATCAGCTAACCAATTAGGGAAATCAGCTGCTAAGACAAATGTGTCTTGGAGAAAGACATCTCCAAGATGAAGGCCTGTTGCTTTGCCACATAGCACCACTCCTCTTTTCAGACACATTCAAAAATAAAACATCTGGCACCACGTTGCCCTTTCGTGTTCCTAATGCTTGTTTTCCAGTGTTAAGAAACAGCTCTTTGTTATTGGGCTGAATATGTTTTTCGAAAATATAATTTTGCTTTTTAGTGGAAAGATTTATTGCTGCAGCTTTAGAGGGGCACCTCCTGGTTTTTTATTTAGCTAGAGGCAATGATCTCCTTGTTATTATGGACATGCTGGTGCCTTGATGTCTCAGGAAAAAATTGGAAGTAGCATAAAATTATATTTTGCTTTGAAAACAAAACCTTCCATCTTTTCCACGTGCACCAAGTGAAATGAAAAGAATTTGCTTGCATTTTGCCCAAGACCACATGAAAAAGAGTGTAAAGATATTAAACAACCTTGAAAGATGTTGCAAAGAAAAGAGGAAATAAATGTCCAACAAAAGCAATAAACAGCACTACTTCATGTGAAGAAATTAACAGATGTCCAAGGATTTAACAAAGAAATGTTTGTGTACACTCAGTGAATTAAAGCTACACAAAGCCTTAGAATGCAAGTGCAGACTGCTTTTAAATACGAAATGTAGCATAATTAGTCCAATTTACTTAATTGGTTCACTTGTTTAAATCATTTTGATACCAACTGGTTTAATTGTATGAGTATATAGTACAGGTAGTGTAAGGGCCAAAAATTCATTGTGTGTTTATGTGCTGTTTCTTTAGTAGAAGATTTGTGTATATTCACATGTGTAATCATAGAAAAAATTCAGGTTGAGTGAGATTTGGAGGACATCTAGTTCAATCTTCTGTTCAAATAGCAGTAACTTCAGGGTTAGGTCAAGCTGTCCAGAGCTTTGTCCAGCAGAGTTTTGAGTATCTCCAAGGATGGAGATCCTACCATATTCCTACTCAGCCTGTTCCAGAGCTTTACCTCTCACTGGGAAGATTTTCTGTTCTGTTCATCTAGTCAGCATCTCCGTTGCTGTGGTTTGTCTCCATTGCAGCCAGACCTTTCCTCTTGCACCTCTGAGAAGAGTCTGGCCCTGACTTCTCCATAACCTGTTCATCAGCTATCTGAGGACTGCAGTTAGACCCTCCTTTAGCCTTCCCTTTTCCAGGATGAAGAAACCCAGCTCTCAGCCTCTTCTCATATATCACATATGTCGTGTGCTTCAGAGCACGTAATATTTCATGTGTCGAACACTTTACCTAAAGAGGCTGGCAATATTCGCCGAAGTAAAGCATCTCCAGAAGATATTTTAGAGTATCTATGCCAAAACACACTTACATAGCAATTAGACATACCCCAAATTATGTTACTTAGTTATCTCTGTGATGGAGCCCAGCCTCTCAATTTGGGCATCTGAAGGATCTGACAGTCAGAAGCTCGTGTCCACATTCTCACCACCTAGTAGTTATCTTTTCTGACAGTTATAGAATTAGTGGGTTATAGGAATGCAAAAACTGCAATGCAAAATTAATTACCTTTATGCATAAAGGCAATTACAAGCAATTACAGACATACATTCTGTGGCCACATACACATTCAGCTTAGAGTGTACTCAGATATACTGCAATAAGTGCAGTATGCAAACCAGAGCAATACGTGACGCTCTGCATAACCATGGCATAAATTGCTTTCATCATGAGCTTGTAAAAGCTCAATCTGAACCATGCCCTCTGACCTATCACTGTCAAGACTCTTGTAAAAATGCCAGCCTTCTGAGCAGCTGTAAACTTTTATTTAATGTAAAAAAAACCCCATACCCAAAATCAGATCACTCCTCAGATCATCAGATCAACTCTGACCTTCTACCACACAGAGCACCACTGACTCAAACCTGCTGAATATGAACCTTGGAAGGAATTAAATTCTACTATCTCCTAGCCTCAACCAGTGATCCCATCTCTCTTACGTGCAGAAGAAAATCTGCCTCTGATTATCATTGACTTCACTTCCTATATTTTTATTTTTACAACTTTTCCTTAAGAGAATCTTGAAATAAACAAATAAAAAACCATTAACAAAAGTGAGATGTGCTTATGAAGGATAGCTGGTGATGTCTGGCAGAGCTTTGTCTAAATAACTTTAGTTTTCTGGATCAATATTATATACAGCAGTGGGACAAAAACTCTCAACATCATGACTTAAAGTCCTCATGTTCAAGACATGAGCATCTAACATGTTTCTTTCAAACTTCCAATCCTATTTTTTTTTCTAATTCCAATTCAGTATTTCTATAGGCCAACTACATATACTAGATTTATTTAAGAGGATAATTACATTTGAACATGTTAGCTAAAAATCTGGAGGAGCATCACTTTTCAGGAAGAACATTTAACTCTAAGAAATATTCTGTTATAATTATCAGGACAATAAAAGGAAAATAAATGCCAAACAATAATTACAATTGCCACATCTTGGCATCCCTTCCTAATATGCCAGGTACTTGCCTCAGATGTCACTTTTTGGTAATTGGTGACAATTGCAACAAAACTTGAACCACACTAATATCTCATAGAATATAAAGGAAATATTTTCTATTTGGTTGTATAAATATATAATTTTGCTTAATTTCTTTTTCTTTAGTAGACGAGGTCCAAGTTTCCATAAAGGAAGAAGTGCCTGATTGATAAAGCAAAATCTGCTGTGTTTTGAGTCAGCCTTTGGTGGGAATTAGCTGAATTTGTATTTCATGCAAATTGGGCAAGTGATCTGTTAGACAGCTTGCTAAAAAGGACATACAACCCTCCAGATGTGTTTTGTCTAGAGGTTGAGATCATCTATGAGTTCAAATCCAACAGGAAAAGGGGAGAACAAGTGGCTAAATCCTCAGGGTTGGGAAACTCTGGCATCTTTAGGCATTAGGTAAAAACTTAACAGAGAACTGAGTCTAAAATTTTGACTGGTGCCTACGTTATTATTTTAGACCTCTATCATTTCTGTGAGAACACCATGGGCCTCATTTCTGTATTTAAAAATAAATTTTCTAGAGTTTTTTCTTGTTTCAAATAGAAAAGGATCCTGTGGTGTGCAACGGAAATTTTCTGCCACATGCCTCAATTTGAATTTTTCATTTCAGTCATCTCACGCAGAATTCAAGTCAGCTAACCTTACATATTTATATCTATATGTACACTTGTTATCTAGTCACTTATTTTTGAAGTGTACTTCAGAAAGAGATTTACAGCCCAAAAATACTTATTTCATCAACTATGAAGGAAGAGGAAGGTGATGACATCAGTTTTAGATGCCTGTATTTTAACATAAACTGAACCATCATAAACTGACCCACATTTTTGCCATTATTTCCCTTTATTTTGCCATCACCAAAAAAGGAAGGTGTAGATTTACAACTAATGCCTTTGGATGCCCTAAGTGTAGCTCCAGCTACTTCAACGTCTTGTAATTGGTGCTTTAAGACCTGCCAGTACATAGTTCAAAACCTTCTCTGATTACTCTTCGCATCAGCTGTACGCAGAGGATCAGCTACTTGCTGCATCAATTTGCTGGGTCCCATCTACACCACCGAATAGATGTGCCCTGTTCCGTCCCTGCCTGATGGCTCTGCCCATATCTATGCTGGCAGCCCCCTTTCGATTGCTGCCCTCTCGAAATGGAAACGTCATCAGCGACAACAAGCAGCATTCAACCACATGCAGAAGCAACCACGATTACCCGCGTGACAGCAAAGCACACCACTTACCAGAATTGAGCAGGATGATGGACTTAAGGCACACAAATTCCTCCCCTTGAAGGTTCATCATGCGAAACCGAGCAGCAGTAGCCAGCAGCATGTCAAAGATTTCCACCATGCCCTCTACACATTTCCCTTGATTCCTGTGTGAATACCATCAAGGGGGAGATATTCACAGCTTTAACCTGGTGGCAGCATGAGTTTTTCATCCCCCTGGATCATTCCCCTCCGATTTGATTTTATCAATTCACTAGCTAGCATGTAACTTCCTACTCTAAGCTCATTTGGTGTATGTCTGATTACAAAGGCAGATCCCCAGTATCCCACATAAATTTAATAAATAATTAAATATTATTCTCCCTCCAAAAATGCCAATTTCTTAAACTCATCACCAAGAGGCATTACTGTGATGGAACATATGAATTTAACTCAACCAAACCTTTACATTGAGGAAAAGATTTGTTTAAAACTACATTTTTAGGTGTGTATTTGTGTGTTCTTCTTGGCTTATTTTGTTTCCTCTTTCTTTTGTTTTCCCCTTTAATTGAAATAGCCCAAAGTCTTTGCATTTCTCCCTCTATAATGTTTAGTACTTGTTTCTACCTGTTTTTCAATCTGTAATGTTCCAACACACTTCTCCCATTTTTCTTGTATCAGCGTAATGCCTCCTTAAAGAATTAACTTATTCATGAGCTCAAGAGGGACTTACAAGGCCAAAATCTTGTACGACTGAGTCAGTTTACCTCACTGAACAAACAGATCCCTTTTTACATTACAGCATTAAACAAAGCTAAAGTCCTAAGCTACTGGAAAATCTTCAAGGATTCACTGAAAATGGCCATTAACCACCTCCCTCTGATCACAGTAGTAGATATTCTCACCCACTAATTTTCATTTTGCACATCCAATCTGCAGTGCAAGAATTAATACAGATTGTTCTTTTTTTTAATGAAAGTTTTGCCAGCAGATTTTCTGGTCATGAGTTTAGTGAAAAATCTTTTCACTTCTCAATCATGTCTAAATCTAAAACTGAGTCAAAGAAGGAGAGACGATATCTGTGAGCAGTTTTGCACCAATCTCCTTTCAAGTTCAAATCCTTCAGCTTAATTGGGTGCTTGAACGTAAAACTACATCTCCCTTATCCCAGAGCAGTGCCTACAAGCCAGTGACTATGGCATGTGACAGAAGCTATTCCATCTGGTTTCAGAGATATTTAAACAAAGTAGGACAATATGAAAAAAAAAAAAAAAAAAAAGCTACTCCTGTAAAACAGCCAGTAGGGTGTTGGTTAAAATACAGTCATATTTGAAAACGTGGAGTCCTAGTCCTGAGCAAGTTTTCCAACCACTGTTACAACAGCACATGTTCTCTGACTTTTCTATGAGGAAGAGAGAATCCAGCCATGGGACTGGAAGTAGTAGAAAGGCATGTTTAATAGGGAGAACGAGTTGCTCCTTCTTGCCTCGGGTCCCTGTGAGCTACCAGACAGCAGCACATTGAGCACTCCTGTGAAGTGCCTAATTCTCCCCATGCATTTCACCAGCACCTAGCTCAGAACTGTGATTTCTATTGCATGGCAGGCACTCGGTCACAAGCTGCGACACTTGGCAATGCAAATTTAATGGCCTTTTCTGGCTCTTAAAATTTCATTGATGAAGTTATTGTTTAAATTATAGCAGCTTTTTGAGAATGACCCACAACATAGATAATTTCACATATTAAGTTCCCATAGACTATGACAACAAGTGCAGTATAAAAGGTTGTGGACAAAAATTTAAATCTTAAGATTAGCAGGCTGGCCTACTTGATGCTGCGTTCCCTGTAAAGTGTATGATGCCTTTTGCACCCTCATTTACAATGCCCTCACCATCAATCCGAACTAAAAGACTGATCTCAGCCTGATATATCTGAACACTGAAATTCACAGTTCTGTCTCTTTTGCCTGAAGACTGAATCTGAACTCAGACAGGGAGTTTTCAATGATTTCAGCGATTGGTTATACTGTTCAGTGCTGGCTGCGGAGACCTCTTCAGCAATTATCATCTTGCTGCACTGATGAATTCTGCTTAGACAGAATAAAGCTGAAAAACTGAACTGGTTGGATTCAAGCATATTCTTCTTCTCTTTGGACATCAATAAAATAAACAAAGGAAAAGTAGTATTTAATAGCACCATTGTCAAATAAAAGAAAAATAAATAAATAAATAAATAAACAGGCACTCAAAGCATGGCATGAGAATATGAACAATTACTATCGCCTCAAAATCTGTTTTGTATGCTAAAATTTCAGTCCTATGGAAGTGAAATAAATGTGAATTTTTACAGTGGGACATGCTCTACTGCTTCTGATACAATAAATATTTTTTGCCTATAACTAGAGAAAGATCAACTTTACATAGATAGAGTTAAGCACAGTTTCAGAGGACTAAAAGTCTTGAATAGCTTTGCATTAACATAAATAAGGTCCCTAACAAATGTAAGTTTAAGAATTTAGAATTTCAGGATTAGGCAGAAAGGAAAAGTTTCTGTGGATCATATGGCAAATGACCCATATTATAAAACTCCCACATCTTCATGTCTGGCTAAGACATTTACTTGCTTCCTAAAACCTACCAAACTAGTGCCAGCCAATATTCAAAATAATTCAAAATATTACACAGTCTGAACAAATTGCAAAATTTGTGTAGCCAAGACCACAATTTAAAAGAAATAGTAAGTTATTAGTAAAATAAGACCTATTAAAATGCCTTGTGGCAACTCATAAAATGGAAAAGACATTTCGATAGCAAATAAGAATTATTCCCAGGTATATTTTACAAAAATAGTTCAATGGACTGTAGTTAACATGTTCAGTATTCCAATCAAGAATGTCTTGCTGACAGATATAACCTATGGACAAAAATCTCTAGTCCTGCAACACTTAGTCCATGTGCCTACATCTCCATGTGTGTCTATTTCCCACCAACTGACCTCATACAGTAGATGATAAAAGTGATGTAAATTTAAAAGATTCTAAATACTTTTTAAGCTCACTTGCTTTGCTGTCTGCTGTGTCTGAAATACCAGGCTATTCCATAAGAAAAAGAAGGATATCTCTTTTGGTAAAGTACTTTAGATGAAGTCAGATACCTAGTTTTAGGCATTCATGTGTGCAAACAACAATTTAGAAATTTTTACTTTATTAAGAGTTAGGCAGCAGATCCAGCTCTGCTGAAATCCATGTGAACTGCAGGAGCTTAGTATCATTGACACGGAGGTTTCTAAACAAATGTTTTATTTGTTATCTAGGCTGCAACACTGAATTTTCTTTGTTAACCAGCAAAATCTATCATCTGAAATAGGAATCTCCAGTTCTCCTGAATTCCCTTCTAACTTTCTAACATAAGCTGATAGTATTATCACCTCTTCACAGCTATACGTCCAGTCATTAGGAAGGCCTGTCAAGGAAGGCCTAGATAATTTTCTGGAGGACAAACTAAGCAATAGATTTAAAAATTATTATTACTCCATGATCATGGTGTTGTCTTTGTGTACTCTCAGTTTACTGAAAACAAAACAATAAAAGCTTGTTTACTGCAAAGTGTCAGACTGTTCTCAGAAGAATCCTTAACACTTGGATATTGGGAGACGTTAAGGAAAGTCAAAATGTGAATTAAAGGTCTTAAGTTACCGCATAAAAGTACTATGTGCATTAACTTTAGCGAGTCCACAGAATCACAGCATCATCCAGGCTGGAAGGCAATTCAGGATGTGTTGAGTTCAGATTCCTGCTCAAAACAGGGTCAGCTGTGAGCTCAGACCATCTCACTCAAGGCTTTATCCATTCTGGTCTTGAAGACTTCCAAGGATGGAGACTGAACAACCTCTCAGCTTAATTACTGTAATTATCATTTTTTTCTCCCCTATAACCAGTCAGAACCTCCTCTGCTTTAATTTACAAGTCCTGTTTCTCAGTTTCCCATCAGGCATCTTTATAATAAAAAGCCTGGATAACCTCCTTGTAGATTTTATGTGGGAGAGAGATTGTTACAAACCATCTGACCAAGAGAATAAAGTGAATAAGTCTTTCTATAAATAACTCATAGAAGTCTCCCAATCACCTGGCTACAGTCTTGTGGAGGATTTCTACATAGATAGACTGCAAACATTGGCAAAGGTCAACATAGCATTGTGCAAGTACTCCAGAGTATCTAGACTGTGTTGATGATAACGTCATAACACAAACAGCAGAGCGGCCAAGCAAGGGCAATGCTCTTTTGACCTACTCTTCACAAACAATGAGAAATTGCTGGTGAATGTGGCCACAGGCAGATTTGGCTCCAGCAACCATGACATGTGACTGAGCTCAGGATCCAGAGGTAAGCTGGGAATATAAACAACAGAAGAACAGACTACAGGTAATTTAAGGAATTGCTAGGCAGAATACTCTTGAGACATGATGGGGAAAAGCATCAAGGGACCTAGACAATATTTTAAGGAAAACTTATTGAGAACTCAGGAACAAGCCCATCTGATTGTAGAGGAAGATTAGGTATTTCAACAGAAGAACCACTTGGCTAAGCAAGGAGCTCCTTAAGAAACTACAAGGCAAAAAAAAACATGCAAGAAATATAAATCAAAGCAGGCAGCAAAGAAGAAGTATCAAAGCACTGTTTGAGCATTTATGTGGAAACTCATTTTGAGCTTAAACTAGAAAGGGACGCAGAGGGTAACAAGAAGAGATTTTACAAGTATGGCAGCAATAAATAGAATTTTAGTGAGAACAAAGAGTTGATGAATGGGGGAGAAAATCTAGTGACTGACTACATGGAATAGACTGAAACACTCAACAGCTTTTCTTTTTTGTGTGTGTCAGATTTCACTGGAAAAGCCGACAGAAACATATTGACAGGTCAGGGAATTAGTTTAGAGAATTAATAATTACTCTGAAGAGTAATTCCAGTCTTTGAAGCCAAATGTGGTTCATTTCAGGATGCTGAAATAGCTGGTCAATGTATTCACTAGGCCACTATCTATCACTTCGCAAAAGTCATGGAGATTGAAAGAGGTCCCTGATAAATAGTAGAAAGCTAATTAACTTTGACAAAATCGAGGATGCAGGAAACCGATTGAGTTTATGATGAAATGATTAGTTAAATGATCA